TGTTTCATCAGATTCGAGGTGTTGCCTCCTTTGACAGTATCACAGTATCAGCTTAAAGCACTTGTTGCTGCTGAGTTTGCATCTGTTGCTGTGAAGAATTTGACCGGTCCTTCTTGGGCATTTTTAATCTGTAGCTCTGCTCTAAAAGAACGTACGTACCTGGCCCCGCCTACTACGCTCGCAAAGGTAAAATGATTGGCTAGAATCCAAAGTGTCTGACATCTCAGGAAAATAAAGCTACCGTTACTACCGTTTATGTCAGAACCGGTACCGGTGCCCATCGCTAGGTGTGAGCAGCCGTTGCCTTCTGCTACGTACACGTGCACACAGTTGTTGAAGGAACTCGGCTGGTAGCTCGTTCCAAACATCTCAGTGAACTAAGCACATCCTTCTGTCTCTTCATGTAATCTCAGACACACTCGATGTTGATCAGGGCTCTGTGGGGGCCGGACCATCACTTCAGTACTTCTTTATGCTGAGGATAGTTCTTCATCACTTTGGCTGTCTGGTCTGGTTGTCCTGCTGCAGAATACATTAGGGGCCAATAAACAGTCATTTATATTTCTGAAACTTTCTGTGCTTGCAGCATTTTTTCCACACCTGCCTAAAACGTTTGCACAGTGCTGTAAGTCTCATTTCCTCTTCTTCCTCTTCTTCCCCCACGTTAAGTCCAGCTCTGCGTCCTGCAGCAGCAGTTAATCAGGACAGGAGCGTGCAGCCCACAGCAGAGCAGACAACCTTTTCAGCAAATTTGGGCTTTGAGATGATTTATCGAATAAATAAAAAATATCAGCAGCAACAACTCCGAAGCGTCTTGACCTACATGACCTATGTACATTCAATACACTGACACACCTCATAGCGCTGTTGCACTGAGCTTGTTCTGCACTCTGTCCTGCAGGTAAGCACTCACAATATGCACTCGTCCAGTGAGGACGATGACATGGAGAGCCCCTTCCCCAACGACCTGTCGCTCCAACAGGTATCGCAGCCGCGCTCAGAAGCCAATCTTAACACGCTGCCGCACCACTCACGATGACACCAGGAACAAAAGTATGAGCTCACCAGTTGTGCTTGAACTTCACAGGCTTTCTCAGACTATCAGATCCAACAGATGACTGCCAGCTTTGTGGATCAGTTTGGCTTCAACGACGAGGAGTTTAGCGAACATGATGAAAATATCAAGTAAGTCTTCTAAGGAAAGGAGTTCAGAGTTTTCATCCTGATCTGTAGTTCCCAGGATTCTTTTGGCATCATGTGTGTAATGCAACAGCGGCCAGCACGTTTGACTGCTGGCTTACAGCGACATAGGATAGCTTTGGTGTCTTTGTTCAGGTAGTTTGGCCCTCCAGGTGTCACAGGAGGAGGCGGCTCGAGCTGTCGCAGAGTTTATCGAAATGTCCCAAACATGTAACGTGTGTGTTGTTGCTTCTGTGTGTGTTCTCCCTCCTCAGCGCTACGTTTGACAGAATCGCCGAAATAAACTTCAATCTAGATGCTGATGATAACAGTGTAAGTGTGTGTGATTCTTTAAAACTCGTCCAGTGATGGGCGTGAGCTGCGTGTTTCTGCTGTGCAGTGAAAGCTCACTGCTAATTAGTCACAACACGCTCCTTCATAAATATGTCCACGATGTTTAACCCACTGAAAGCTCTCCTTTCATTGTTCACAGGCCAACGCAGCTGCATTTGAAGCCTGCTGCAAAGAGAGGATACGCCAGTTTGATGATGCTGAAGAGGAGGAGGATATCTGGGACGATAAGGAGATCAACTATGCAACACAAGCTAAATCCAGAACAAGGTCAAGCTGATGCCGTGTTTCATCCTCACTGCACTTTGTTGCATGCCGTGGATTTGTTTCATTAAACCTTTAACTTAATGAGCTTCTCCCTTTCTTCCAGGTTCGGGGTCTCTCAAACCTCAGAGGGAAGCTCCAGGAGCAGCATGGAAAACGGAGGTCGGGAGCGGGACCGTGCATCTGAATCGGATGAGGACGAAGACTCTGAGCAGAACACGTCAGATTCGGGTAGATGGGAATGCAGCCAAATGTCGCACTGACCTGTGAACAGCCTCTCAGGTCTTAAAAGTGTTTGGTGTCATCTCCAGGTCCTGGCTGGACAGCAAATTTCAGGGATTCTGGAGAGAGCGCAGCATCCCAAACCTCCCCCGGGTGGGAGAGCTCAGCAGGGAGCGCGACCGAGACACAGCAGACTGGCTGGGCTAACTTCACTGAGTTCCAGCCTTTCTCTGGGTGAGCAGTCACACAGACCGCACTGGTGACGGTTTTCATAGGAACGCAATGCTCAGTGCTCTCTTCCTGGTTTCCCACAGTACCAAGACAGATCCCAGGTGCAGCTCTCCTGTGGAAACGGGCAGCAGTGATGTGGATAAACAAGCCAAACAAAACCACGAGAAGAGCGGTGAGTCGCACGTCACCGCTCCGGCCGGCAGATCCTCTCCTAAACTCATGTCCAACTCAGGAACACCGGTTCTTAATTGGAGCAATAAATGAAGAAAAGTGTAATAACAGTATTTTTCTGCACGTGTCTGTCAGCAGATGTTAGTACCTCCCCTGGTCCAGCAGGAGAAGGGAGAAAGGCTCCACTCGTGGCCTCAGACAGCAGCTCCTCCGGAGGCTCTGACAGCGAGGAGGATGACAAAAATGCTGGTGCTCCTCCCACCTTAGAAACAGCCAGTGCCCCGGGCAACAAGACGGCGGACCTCAAAAGGTGTGCGTCGTCCCATCTTTCAGAATGTGTCATATCAGTGAAACGTTTCCGGCGAGTAAAGCATGAGCGCCGAAAAACAAACGTCACTTTGGGGTAACGTCCTGAGACTGTCCACGCTGCACACACAACCTCTGTGTGTGCAAACTTCTATATTTGAAACATAATTACCACATTGATGTAATTATAGAGCGCGCTGGAATTTGAAATTGCTGCATGCATTCAGTTGAGCTTCGCCTTTCTAAGTACAGTTCACCCCGGAGCTAAAGTTTGTCATGTTAACACGGAGCCAGCTGAGCTCCACACAGATCATGAGCATTTTGTATGCCACTAGTGGATCTGACCACTCAGCCTTCATTTCCACATGCTCCAAACTAAATGGACAGCGTAGCTGTTCTGAGCTTGTTTCCCTCTGCTGGTCTCCCAGGTTGGTTTTACAACTAAAAGCATAATAAATGTTACATTTGTACGTGTGTGTGTTCTGCAGTGAGGAGTGTCCGGTGTCTCTGGAGAAGCTCTCCCTGTCAGATCCTCCTACAGCTTCAGAGCAGCAGCCTGCTGAGGATCTACCTGTAAACACGCAGACTGACAGGAAGTAAGTAGCCAGGAAGTAAAGCACCTCGAGGTGCTTTATGTTGTAAGGTAGACCCTACAATAATGCATGCAGACAACAATCATATGACCCCCTATGAGCAAGCACTTTGGCGACAGTGGGAAGGAAAAACTCCCTTTTAACAGGAAGAAACCTCCAGCAGAACCAGGCTCAGGGAGGGGCGGGGCCATCTGCTGTGATTGGTTGGGGTGAGAGAAGGAAGACAGGATAAAGACATGCTGTGGAAGAGAGACAGATTAATAAGCATGTCAGCTCAGCTGGGGAGACATGAGTATTTCCATCCTTCCTGCTGCCTCGAGCATCAGCCTCTCGTCACACTTCCTTCTGCACAGTGTTAGCAGATGTAGTTTGGTAGAAAGATGAAACGGCTCCTAGTGCATTTCTTTGCATGTAAAACTGCACAATTATCCTGCATTTGCAGTGCAATGCATCATGGGTTTGCTAAGAAAATGTGACGCTGCACAACAGTAGTCACGAAGTAAAGCAGGTCAGTAAATATGGGGCTATATGCAATAGTAAATAATGCTTTAGCACACAGCATGATTGTGTATGTGAAAGCCAAGTCGCTCATACACGCTCACAGACGAGCTGACGCTGTTCAGCAGTGGGCTGCACACTTTGAATCATGTAGACTCCAGCGGGGGGGAGGAGTCTGCGGAGTGCCTGCAGAGGCCACTGCTGCTGCTTGTAACATGTTGTTGTGTAAAGCAGACACATGGCCTTCATAGAAACTCGGGTTACACTTTCTAATGAAAAACACATCTTTGTTAAGTACGTTTAGTTGTTAAAGTATGTTTGTATACCAGGAGAATATTTAGTTGCTGCATTCACACTAAATGTAAAGCACTGCATTCATGTTAGTGGAGGTGAATGTGTCAAAGTTTGTGCATTTGGGGGAATAATGGGAGACGCCACTCTCAGAAGTGGAGCTCGGGGAAACGAGGGAATGCTACTCACACAATGAGGCAAAACTTTGTACTTGGAGCAGCAGCAGCCTGTTCCATACGGAGGCAGCAGACAGACTGCAGTCTAACAGCATGTAGTGCTGGACGTGCATCGTGTCTCCTGCACGCAGCTGACTGTTTCCTTTGTCGTCCCAACAGAGAGGAAACGCCACCGCCCCAGGAAGTGTCGGTCAACGGGCCCGTGTGAGCGCGATGGGCGCCGCAGCCCCTGAGAGACGCAGACTGTCAGCCTCCTCCAGAGTGACTCCCCTAAATAACCTCACTGCAACTACGGTGTTTTTACTGAATCACTCTGCCATGTTATTGGACCTGGACACTGCCAATCGACACCAATAACGAGGCGGCAGGACATGTAAAAAAACAACCCCCCCCACACAAAACAAGAAAAAGCGAGACGGAGCAGAGTGCAGAGGAATCTTCTTCAAAGCCTTTTCCTGATGTTGCACATGATCCCGTGCAGTTTTAATGTAGCAGCGATCTTTGAAACGACAGAGTCCGAGGGGTAACATCGTCACCGCTATTTTTTTATGTCCTCAAACATTACTCTCCCACCCTTTGGGATTTTACATGGGCACCCCGAATGGATAGCACAGGCCAACTCTAAATGATGCCTCAACAATAAATACGTTGTTTTTCCTTCAAGCTTAAGAAAAAGCACTTATGCAGCCATTTACTGTACATTATAGCACAATGATGTAAGTGTTGTACCTTCATCTCTGCTGGTTGTCTCCTCTGTCCTCACATCAAGGTTTTATCCAGTGTTTGGGGTTTTTTGGTTTTGGTCGCTGTTGATGAAACATCCTCACCATCGTACGTCACCAGGTTTCTGAATGTTTTGAAGTGCTTCAGGACGCTCTGTTGAAGAGGAGGAGAAGCGGGTCAATGAACAGAGCTCTAATAGTATTACTGTCTTTTGCTCATGTGCAATAATGTCAATTAGCCATTTTATTTAAAAAGAAAAAATCTGGCATCAGAGACTCATTGGGTAGTTTCAGATTTGGATATGATCTCAATTTTCTCTTCTTTTACTTTAGTGCATGTATAACCGGTTCTCTGTTGACCTAGCTAGTGAGCTAAGACCTTCTGATTGTATTGACCTTTACGTTCTTGCTATCCCCCTTAAATCAACCAAACTTTATCTACCTATATACAAATATTATCTACATTTATAAGTAATTTTACAAGCAACCTTGAGATTACTATTTTTGTCTGTTCCTTTTCTCTCTTTCCACCAAGCACTTACTCACAGGGGGAGAGTGACATTTGGTAAGAGTGACGCTGTATGCCCCCCACCCCCCTATTATTATTATTATTATTAATTTTTTTTAAGGTTAATTTTATTTTGTTTCTGAGCAGCAGAATTGGAGGGAGAGCAGGTCTGAGTTCTGCAGAGCTACAGGCCTCTTTGGTGTACTTAAATCATTTGACAGCGATCAGGTTCTATGATTATTGTTAAAAAATTCAAATTAAAAGTGTCTGGCTGACCACATTAATACCAAAGGCTCTGCTTTGCTGGTGTCATCTTTGCACTGGTGCAGTACGCTTTGTTTTCAGAGACCTCGTCCACACGCACTTCCACACGACACCTCATGATGTTTTATAGTGCAGGGTTAAGACCCCACAAAAAGACCAACCTCTATGAGCAAGCGACAGTGGGACGGAAAAACTCTTTTACCAGGAAGTAACCTCCGGCAGAACCAGGCTCAGGGAGGGGCGGGGCCATCTGCTGCGACCGGTTGGGTTTGAAGGGAAGGACGCGGGACAAAAGACACGCTGTGGGAGAGAGCCAGAGATGAAGAATAACTAATGCAGAGTGGTGTAGAAACACCAGCGTGACTTTATGGGGGGAGCACAAACTCCCTCCAATGAGGGGATGTTCAGAAATCATGTGATCAGCTCATCCAAAATTGCTTCGGAGTCCGCAGCCACTCAGGGCCTGAACACGTTCGGTTTCAGTTTTCCCTCCGACATGTCTGTGCAAACACCACTGCTGCACATGTGGCGTGCACACTTTGCTCCTCCCCCTCTGCTTGGTTTTGTTGGTCTTTTCCTTCCTAAATAACCTGGTCATGAGAGGAGGTGTGTTGGTTTAAGATTTTCATTCATTCTTTTCAGCATGTAAAGTGCAGTGTTGCCCCACTGGGACAGATCCACTCTGAGGGTTCTAATGTGCAGCTGTGATGTTAGAAATCATCAGCAGCACTGAGGTTTCTCTGCATGAAAATGATTTTCCAAACATTGCATTTTTTTCGTCATCTCTGTTTGGAGTAGGCAACGTTCATCTGTGTTGTTCGGGGCAGAATAGTTTTGTTGGTGAGCAGAGAGGGCGTCTCTGAGGGCCGCAGGTTTAGTCCAACCAGCTAATGCTTAGAAAGCCCAGCTGTGCTTTCAAAATATCAAGAACCATCTGTCCATCTTCTTCAGCTTCAGCAGCCCAAGCAGAGAAGCCCAGACCCCCCTCACCCAGGGGGCGCCTCCTGGGTGAGGCTCCTTTCGAACTTCTCACCCTCTCTCTAAGGGAGAGGCCAGCCACCCTTTGGAGGAAGTTAATTTCCGCCGCTTGTATCCACGATCTCGTTCTTTCGGTCACTACCCACAGCTCGTGGCCATAGGTGAGGGTAGGGATGTAGATCGTCTGTCGATCTCCGGCTCCCTTCTCCCATCACTCGCGAACAAGACCCCGAGATACTTGATCTCCTCCACTTGGGGCAGGAACTCATCCCCGACCCGGAGTGGGCACTCCACCCTTTTCCGGCTGAGAACCATGGCCTCAGATTTGGAGGTGCTGATCCTCACCCGATGAAGCCAACAGAACCACATCATCCGCAAAAATCAGAGATGAGGTTCTGAGGCCACCGAAGCGAAAGCCCTCCGCCACTTGGCTGCGCCTAGAAATCCTGTCCATAAAAATTATGAACAGAACCGGAGACAAAGGGCAGCCCTGGCGGAGCCCATCACCCACCGGGAACGAGTCCGACTTATTGCCGGCAATGCGAACCAAGCTCTTGCAACGGTTGTATAGGGATCGAATGGCCCGTAGCAATGGGCCAGACACCCCAAACTCCCGCAACACCTCCCACAGGACACCCCGAGGGACACGGTGCCTTCTCCAAGTCCACAAAACACATGTAGACTGGTTGGGCAAACTCCCATGCACCCTCAAGTATCCTCGAGAGGATAAAGAGCTGGTCCAGTGTTCCGCGACCAGGACAAAAACCGCATTGTTCCTCCTGTATCTGAGGTTCAACTAACGGACGAACTCTCCTTTCCAGCACCCTGGCATAGACTTTCCCAGGGAGGATTGGGAGTGTGATCCCCCTGTAGTTGGAACACACCCTCCGGTCCCCTTTCTTAAAGATGGGGACCACCACCCCGGTCTGCCAGTCCACAGGTACTGCCCCTGATCTCCACGCAACATTGCAGAGGCGCGTCAACCAACACAGCCCTGTCAAGAAATGTTCGTTATGTTCGGTTAACCTTCAGTGGAAATCAACCATCACAGGTGGTCATGAAGATGGATTATGATTCAGTGAATCCACGATCACCTCAGACCGCGGCACACGGCCCTGTATTTGCTCAGTAATAGTTCTCAGCCTCGTTCAGGCTTCTGATGTGTGCAGAGTTCTGCTGCGACTCTTCATCAATCCAGTGTTACACCACGCTTACTTGAGACTAGCATATTACCACAAAATCTACCTTTCACCAGCCCTTGTTTACATAAAGTACACTCTGTTTTTGAGCAGAAATAAAATGAGACAATAAAATATTTAAATGTTTAGATTATTTTGACTGTCTGACTGCAGAGTGCTGTATGTTAAACTTTAGTGAGAATGTTTTTTGTTTGTTTTCAAGCGTTTATAAATTTTAAATGGCAGCACATAATCACAGCTGTGGTCCTCAGGGGTCCAAAATGTCCCCGTCTGGTTTGATTGATAATTAATATGAAGTGGATTTCCCCCACTTTTAATTAAAACTTAATTCAAACATTTTGACACAATTTCTTTTTTCCATTTCAAATGTAAGTCTGATAAAACCTCATAAAAATGAATTTTTTCTTTTTCGGGTAAAAAAATAAATGAAATCATCAGTTATCATGAGGATCGTTTCACAGCCAGAGTCGGCTGCTTTAACAGATGATCACAGACGGGTTTATGTCAAAGTTAATTTAGAAAGCTGTTTTTAAACTACAAGTTTTTTACTGGCAGCACATAATCACACCTGTTGTCCTCAGGGGTCCAAAATGTCCCCGTCTCGTTTGACTGTTTATATCTATCATTGCCTGACAGTTTTCTATATTTTGGCATGGTAGGAGGGCATGAGTCTGAGTGAAGGCAAACTTTCATGAGGACAAAGGTGTGTCCATATTTGACCCAAGTGCAGGAGGAAGCTCAGGTTTATTCCTCTGCACTGGTCCCATCATGGACAGCATTCTTTCTGCAGTTGCAACCCAAGGGGCATATACAGTAAACAAGCTGTTACAGGTGATTGTTTTCTTTTGGAAACCTGCAATGTTAGGGACAACTCGTGTCCTGACTGCAGGACAGACGGTTTGCCATCGCACACGAGCATGTTCCATGTACAGCTGGACCTGCATCACATGCTGCCCATGTTTTTGTCTCAAAGTTCCCTGGTTTACTTGGATGTTCTGTTGGAGGGGACAGAGTCCTCTGAAGGGGACTTGGTGCTCATACAGTCACATCAGTACCAGGATCTTACATCACAGCAGGAGGAACACCCACTTGTGTTTCAAGTCAAGTCAACACCAACACACATCATACACCTCAAATGGGAGCACGTTTGTGTCATGAACGACGATCATCTATTGTGTCTTTATCAAGAAATTATGTCCTTTTTGTGCTTCTATGATTAATCTTGTGTCAGCATGAAAACTTCTCTACCAGACTCAGGATGTCATAAACTGGCCGTAGCGACTCTACTGGATGCACGGCAGTAAGAATCAACACACCCACATATGCCTACAGCTGCATTCGGTCCATTTTTCTTCCTCTCTTGTTGTCCCTCCTTGTTCATCATTGAGTTAGCTGTAGAGCAGGTCATCTGCTAATTGGATGGTTGTTGGTTCAATCTCTGTGTGCTCTAGTCTGGAGTTCTTACCAAGGTGTCCTTGGGCAAGTTACTGAACCCCAACTTGGTCTCTGATGCATCCATTGGCATGTGAACGTTAAAAAGCAGAATACAAGCAGAATACACTGTGTGTAATGCTTTCAGTACTCGAGTAGAAAAGCCACTGAAGGAGTATGGGACCTGGCACATGTGCTTGGACTGTGGTAGATCATCTTTCTCTGAGGCACATGAGAGAGTCATGCATCGTCTGTCACTGGGAAGGTTAGAAGACCAGATCAGTGTTTCCTCACGTTACTGCAAATATTCCTCTGTCTCAGCTGATTCCTCTTTCCTGCTTGATTCTTTGTCTTCATCATAATTGAAATGGATGATGTGTAGTCCTCTGACACATCTTCTATTTCAGTTTCACATTCTGAAAATTCAAGAAACTTCAAGAAGCCCAGTCACTTTCTCTCCAAGCTCCTCAGACTACCATGTCCTGGATGCCTGAGAACCTACTTGAACATAGTTCAGATTCTTCATCACTTTTCTTCACTTCATAGCCTTCTTCCACTTCTGCAGGTGGCTGATGTGCTTTTTCAGAGAAAGGGTAGCATGTGCTCTAAATATGGACAATATTTTCTATATCTTCTAACCCTGGATCTTCCTGAACATTGATTCTCCCTCCTCATTATACTAGCACAGCGGTCCCCAACCCCCGGGCCTCGGCCCGGTACCAAACGACTCACGGACCGGTCGTTTGGTACCGAGCCGCGAGAGTTGAGGCTCAGGTGTGAAATGTCTGGTTTTCAGGGTTTTTATCGTTTTTACCGTTAACTTGGTTCTCCTGGGTCTTTTCACGTGTGTCATGAATAAATCTTTTTTTCAGTACTGGTTTTATTTTGTTGTATTTAAGGCCGGGCCGTGAAAATATTGTCGGCCATAAACCGGCCTGTAGCGCAAAAGAGGTTGGAGAGCGCTGACCTGGAGGACAATATGTGACAATATGTGCTTTGTCCTACTGCTCATTGCTTTGCACAACATGGTAAAAAAATAGCTCACAAGCCTCCAGTGCAGTGGAGGCCTGTGAGCTGCTTTCTGTGTTCGTATTATTGTAGGGTCGACCTTACAATACGAAGCACCTTGATGCGACGGTTGTGATTCGGCGCTGTGTAAATACCGTTGAATGTGGAGCGCCGGCCTCCTCTTTGTGCTGCCTGTTGTTGTGGTGGTTATGACCGTTGCTTGACCCCACACATCAGTGATCCGAGATGTTTGACAGCAGTGTGTGAAAATGTGGCCCTTTGCAACACTTTGTGGACGTTTTTGTCCCCGAGGACAACAGACGTTATAAAGTCCAATAAAAACCCATAAATACATCAAATTACTTCAAACTTTTTCCAATCATGCACAGCATAGTACTGAACAACTTGTTT